ATGGCCAGGAGCCTGGGTCTGTGCTTGTCTTCCTACTCCAGCATGTAGTTCCTTGTCTGGTTTATAATCGAGGCTCAGTGCATGTCTAGTGAGCTTGAGACTGCAGGCTAAAAGTAGCATGAGGGACTGTTAGTGTCATCTCAGGTTAACAGGTGATAGATATCTTGGACCAAAGTCACTGTGGTGGAAAGGATTTGAAAAGTCTCTAGAAAATGAGCACATGGAACTTGGCAACTGAGAACATGAGAAGATGCGGAAGTTTAGCGGGGTAAGCGGTGAGCTTCCTGGTTTGGGGCTGGGTAGGCCGTTAACCCAGCTGGTAATGGTCAGTGGAGCCATCAGTGGAGTGAGGAGCATTGAGAGAACTTGAAGGTGAGCTAGTAGAGTGAGAGGGGCCCGCAGGGCAGCCAGAAGGTAGCTGAGGGTCATGGGAGCCTTGGCTGCCAAAGTGGCGGCCGCCTGTCCTGGTTTTTCCTGTCACTGTTGAACACGGTCACATCTGAGCTGCAAGGAAGAAGCTCTTAGAAATCCACAGGGGTTCTGCTGTGGTCCCAAGGTGGGCAGATCACCTTTGGGGACAGCCTCTTCTCTGGGGGAAGGAGAGTGGGAAGACTGTGTGTAGAGGCAGATGCAGCTGGGGCTTTGGGACAAGGGCTTCGAGGGTTCCTGCTGCAAGCGTCGGGTGTGGTGAGGAGGAGACGGCGTTTGAGGAAGCCAGGCTGAACTGAGTGTCGGGCGACTGGCAGGCGTCCGAAAGTCAGCACTGAGAAGTCCAGCTGACACTGAGGCCAAGGATTTTCCAGGGTTCGAGCCAGCGGGATTGTGTGTTTTAATGCATTCGCAGGCTATACTACATGCCCGATTTTTCCCTGCCCCCGTCTCTTCATGGCTTGGCAGAGTTGAGTGAGCGTTCTTTTTTTTTTTTTTTTAAAGATTTTATTTTATTTTATTCATTAGAGAGAGAGAAAGCACGAGCAGAGGAAGGAGGGGCAGAGAGAGAGAGGAACAAGCACGCTCCCTACTGAGCAGGGAGCCCGATGTGGGACTCGATCCCAGGACCCTGGGATCATGACCTGAGCCGAAGGCAGACGCTTTACAGACTGAGGCGCTCCGTTGAGTGAGGTTCTGATGTGGCGCTCTGCTTCTGCCTAGGTGAGGGGCCGGATGTCCTGGTGTACAGCCTTGATTTTGGTGGCCATCTGCGGATGATGAAGCGCGTGCAGAACCTGCTTGGCCACTATCTTATCCATGGATTCCGGGTGCGACCAGAACCAAATGGAGACCTTGACTCGGAGGCTATGGTGGCTGTGTTTGGGAGCAAGGGACTCCGAATTGTGAAAGTTAGCTGGGGACAGGGCCGCTTCCGGGAGCTCTGGCGCTCTGGCCTGTGGAACATGACTGACTGGATCTGGGATGCACGTTGGCTTGAGGGCAACGTGGCCTTGGCCCTGGGCCATAACTCGGTAGTGCTGTACGACCCTGTGGTAGGGTGCATGCTGCAGGAGGTGCCCTGCACAGACAGGTGCACCCTCTCCTCAGCCTGTCTGATCGGAGATACCTGGAAGGAGCTGACCATAGTGGCAGGTGCAGTTTCCAATCAGCTCCTTGTCTGGTACCCAGCAGCCGCTTTAATAGACAATAAGCCGGTGGCCCCTGACCGACGAGTCAGTGGGCATGTAGGGGTCATCTTCAGCATGTCGTACCTGGAAAGCAAGGGCTTGTTGGCCACAGCTTCAGAAGACCGAAGTGTCCGCATCTGGAAGGTGGGTGACCTGCGGGTGCCTGGGGGTCGGGTACAGAATATTGGGCATTGCTTCGGGCACAGCGCCCGTGTGTGGCAGGTCAAGCTCCTAGAGAATTACCTTATCAGTGCAGGAGAGGACTGTGTCTGCTTGGTATGGAGCCATGAAGGTGAGATCCTTCAGGCCTTTCGGGGCCACCAGGGCCGTGGGATCCGGGCTATAGCTGCCCATGAGAGGCAGGCCTGGGTGGTCACTGGGGGTGATGACTCAGGCATCCGGCTGTGGCACCTGGTAGGGCGTGGGTACCCGGGTTCAGGGGTCTCAGCTCTCTGCTTCAAGTCCCGCAGCAGGCCAGGTACCCTCAAGGCTGTGACGCTGGCTGGCTCCTGGCGACTACTGGCAGTGACTGATACAGGGGCCCTGTATCTCTATGACCTTGAGGTCAAGTGCTGGGAGCAGCTGCTGGAGGACAAGCGCTTCCAGTCCTACTGCCTCCTGGAGGCAGCCCCTGGTCCTGAGGGTTTCGGACTTTGTGCCATGGCCAATGGGGAGGGTCGTGTCAAGGTTGTCCCCATCAACACTCCAACTGCAGCCGTGGACTTGACCCTGTTCCGTGGGAAAGTGCATAGCTTGAGCTGGGCCCTGCGTGGCTACGAGGAACTCCTGTTGCTGGCATCGGGCCCTGGCGGTGTGGTGGCTTGCCTGGAAATCTCAGCTGCGCCCTCTGGTAAGGCCATCTTTGTAAAGGAACGTTGCCGGTACCTGCTGCCTCCCAGCAAGCAGAGATGGCACACATGCAGTGCCTTCTTACCCCCTGGTGACTTCCTGGTGTGTGGGGACCGCCGGGGCTCTGTGTTGCTGTTTCCCTCTAGACCAGCTCTGCTCAAGGACCTTGGGGTTGGGGGCAAGGCCGGGGCTATCGCTGGAGCTCTTGGAGCAGGTAGTGGCAGTGAGGGGGGTGAGACTGCTTCTACTGAGTGGGGCCCGGTGTCCACCCTCCCTTCTCTGCATGGGAAGCAGGGTGTGACGTCCGTCACCTGCCACAGTGGCTACGTGTATACCACGGGGCGCGATGGCGCCTACTATCAGCTCTTTGTGCGAGGCGGCCAACTGCAGCCGGTCCTCAGGCAGAAGTCCTGTCGAGGCATGAACTGGGTGGCTGGGCTCCGCATGGTGGCTGATGGGAGTATGGTCATCCTGGGTTTCCATGCCAACGAGTTTGTGGTGTGGAGTCCCCGGTCACATGAAAAGCTGCACATCGTCAACTGCGGTGGAGGGCACCGCTCCTGGGCCTTCTCTGATACTGAGGCGGCTATGGCTTTTGCCTACCTCAAGGACGGGGACGTCATGCTCTACCGGGCTCTGGGTGGCTGCACCCGGCCACATGTGATTCTCCGCGAGAGCCTGCATGGCCGTGAGATCACTTGTGTGAAGCGTGTGGGCACCATCACTCTGGGGCCTGAATTTGAGGTGCCCAGCTTCATGCAGCCCGACCACGTGGAGCCGGGCAGCGAGGGGCCGGGCCTGACCGACATCGTGATCACGTGCAGCGAGGACACTACTGTCTGTGTCCTGGCACTCCCCACCGTCACTGGCTCGGCGCATGCACTTACGGCGGTGTGTAATCATATCTCCTCCGTGCGCGCCCTGGCCGTGTGGGGCATCGGTACCCCAGGTGGCCCTCAGGATCCTCGGCCAGGCCTGACCGCTCATGTGGTGTCTGCGGGGGGCCGGGCTGAGATGCACTGCTTCAGCATCATGGTCACCCCGGACCCCAGCACCCCAAGCCGCCTCGCTTGCCATGTCATGCATCTTTCGTCCCACCGGCTAGATGAGTACTGGGACCGGCAGCGCAATCGGCACCGGATGGTCAAGGTGGACCCAGAGACCAGGTGACGTGCATACCGCGAGGCGGAAACATGGGCTGGCCCCTTGCCACTGCTTCCAGGCTTCCCCTGACTGCTGGCCGGTGTTGTGTCTGCAGGTACATGTCCCTGGCTGTGTGTGAGCTCGACCGGCCTGGCCTTGGCCCCCTAGTGGCTGCAGCCTGCAGTGATGGAGCAGTGAGGTGAGAGCGGAGCGCCTTGGGCCCCGAGACCAGGGCTGGAAGTTTGTCCAGAATGGGTTCTGAGCTGGGCCCTCCCCCGCCCCCCCCCCCAGGCTCTTCCTTTTGCAGGACTCGGGGCGGCGGTTGCAGCTCCTGGCTGAAAACTTCCACCACAAGCGGTGTGTCCTCAAGGTCCATTCCTTTACCCATGAGGCACCCAACCAGCGGCGGTGAGAGGGGCCGCCTGGGGGCCCCGTGTGGGCCGGGTGGGGGCTCCTGTTGCTTCCCATCTTCCTCATTGACCCAGCTGCCCTTTCCTGGCTCCCAGGAGGCTGTTCCTGTGCAGTGCAGCCACCGATGGCAACTTGGCCTTCTGGGATCTCACTACCGTGCTGGACCATGGCTCCGCTGCCCTGGAGCCTCCAGCAGACCCTGGGCTTCCCTACCGTGAGTAGCTAGTGTGCAGCCAGGGCTGTCCCTCCCCATCTCGCACTTCGCCTTCACCCAGGTGGTAGGCTGGGCCCTGACAACCATCTTCTTCCTCCAGGGCTGGGCGCCCCCTGCCTGACCCTCCAGGCTCACAGCTGTGGTGTCAACAGCCTGCATACCTTGCCCACACGTGAGGGCCATCTCGTGGCCAGTGGCAGTGAGGATGGTTCCCTCCATGTCTTTGTGCTGGCCGTGGAGGCACCGGAGCTGGAAGAGGCCATGGGGGGTGCTGAGTTGGTGCCCCAGTTGCATGTGCTAGAGGAATACTCCGTCCCCTGTGCACATGCTGCCCATGTGACAGGCCTCAAGATCCTAAGCCCAAGCCTCATGGTCTCAGCCTCCATCGACCAACGGCTGACCTTCTGGCGTCTGGGGCATGGTGAGCCCACCTTCATGAACAGTACCGTGTACCATGTCCCAGACGTGGCTGACATGGACTGCTGGCCTGTAAGCCCTGAGTTTGGCCACCGATGTGCTCTTGGGGGCCAGGGGCTTGAGGTTTACAACTGGTATGATTAAGGTGTCCCGCGGTGGCCGGCGTGCTGGGCATGGGACCTGCTCGCAGACAGGGTGGAACAGCAGCGGCCGTCTGTGCCCATGCCCAGTGTGCCTTGAGGAGGAGGCGGCAGCCGCGGGCTCCTGACTGCAGAGCAGGAGCAGGAGGTGAGAGTGCTGTTTGGCCGACCCGGGCTATGCCCCACTACCTACCAACAGGACCAGGCTTTGTATGTAACAGAAGCAGTTTATTTTGGCTCCAGGTCTCTAACAGAATCTTTGTATCTTTTTTCCAGGTAATGACTTTGTAAACATTCCTAGATGTCGGGGTCTCTGTGGCCTTAGATGTGGTTCAGTGGAGGGAGACCCAGCGTGGCTAGGCCAGCGTGGAGCACTTCACGCACAGCCCGCAGAAGCTGGAGACGGGCAAACATTTGACCAAATAGGTGTGGTCGAGGCTCCTGGAGGAGAGAAGGGGCCTGCTGGTCTCTTCCTCTGCTTCCCTTGCACCCCTGCAAGCCCCCCGCCCCCTTTGCTGTGTACTTACCCCTAGGATGTGTACGCGGTTATAGTATGAGCTGAAATCCATGCTGAGCTGAACCAGGAACTTGCACATCTAGAGACAGAGACTGAGTCACTGGCTGGTCTCTTTGATCTCATGCCCAGCCCAGAATAAAGCAGCAAGCGTGCAGTATCTGTCCGGGCCTTCTCTGCCTCACCGTCTCGGTGCGCGCAGTCGCGTGGAGCCCCGGGGCCACGCACGCCAGGGCTGCGGTCTGGCTCAGCAGGTCTGGGAAGGGGAGCACGCCATTGAAGAGCAGCAGCCACTCACCCTGCAGGGGCGGGGCGGGGGTGGGGTAGGTGAAGGGCGCTGGGAGGGGAGGTCCCAATCTCCTGCAGGTGCCCGCTCCCCAGGAGGACACTCACCTCATCCTGCAGCAGTGAGAAATCGAGACTGCTCACAGGTGGAAAAGTGGGGTACAGACCTTGTTCCACGCTGTGCTGGTACCCCTCAAATAGTGTGGCAAGACGAGCACAGTTATACATGACGAAGGTGCCACTCTTGGTGCCCTTTGTGGAAACGCTGCCATCGCTCAGGGCCAGGACGAGCTAGGGGGTTGGGGGGGGCGCACAGTTGCAGCCGCGACCCAGCCTGTTCTCCAAGCCCTGATCCCGTCGGCCCCCCGGGCTCACCTGACTCTGCGGAGCTGTGCTGAGCATTTCAAACTTGATGGTCGCCACGGAGAGGACGCTGAACACCTCTGTCCAGGCCGGGTCTGCGGGGGTTGAGC